TTTCAGTTGTCAAGTTTCCTGGTTACTGTTATTTTCTGCCTAACAAACTTGAGGAAAAATAAAATTGTACTTCAGTGAGCTTTAGCCTGTCAGATTCTATACACTTCATACTTTTATAGTAGTTTCTCCTCCTTCAGAAAGCCTCAGAGAAATCTATGCCCAGAATCTTCAGAAATCACTAAATATGGGTACTTTAGTCAAGTGAATGATAAACTGATATCAATGTGGTACTGTACAGCAAAAGAACTTTCTAAAATATGATTGTATTTCACCCTTATTTAAAATCCTTAAGTTTTACAATTCAATAAAAGAAAGACTAACAAGTTAATGGAAAAGTGGGTGAGGGGCATGAAAAGGCAGTTCAAAGAAAACAATTGCAAATAGCCATAAGCACATGAAAAATGCTTCTCATTCACTCTTATACTTCATTAACATTTAAAGACATGCATATAAAAACAGACGAATCACCGCTTTCACATCTGAAAGTATTTGCTATCATCCTCCACAGGTGAGGGTGTAGGGACTCCTGTCCGATGTTAATGGCAGAGTGTAAAACTGGTGCATCTTCTGGGAAGGACAATTTGACATTGGCTTTCACATTGTAAATCTGTGCACTCCTTGACCCAGCAATTCTACTCCCAAATGTCTCCCACTGATATTGTTGCTCAAGGGTTTCAAGATGTGTGTAAAAGAATCGCCCCTGCAGCATTTCTGGTGAGTTTTTTTTCTTTTTTCAAAATAAAATCTCGGTCATCTAGTAAGAGGGGGGTGGTTAGACTGTGGTATCTGCAGACACTGTTGTGGCCTTGGCCGTCGTCTACACCCTTTCAGACCCACTACATCCTCCCTCATAGACTCCCATTTGTTCCTGAAAGCCTGGCCACTAAGTGAAGAGCTGTTTCATGAAAGAATACCTACATGAATCTTACTGGGTAAATTGTGTTGGGCTCTAAATCCAACTTCAAATACCCCAAAACATTCGTAGATAGAATGAGAAATGACTTGAACTATGCAAACAAGTTTGTGTAAGTGATACTCATCAGTTTGCAAGCGGGCACATAATCGTTTCATTGTTCTTGCCCACAGTGGATGGTGGGTGGTGGGGTGGGAGCAAGGGAGCTGTTCCTTTAAGAATTCTGCTTTCTGTGCCATCTTCTCCACTTTTCTGTGGCTCACAGTTACCTTGCCCTGAGACTGTTCTTAAAAATAAAGTCATAGCACAGAAAAACATTGGGGAGGAGAGGTGAAGGCTACAACGCAGGGTGTTTGGATCCCGTGGAAGCAGCACACCTGAACTCCAGGCTGAAGATGTGTGGGAGGTGCCACTGCTTCACCCCTCTTCCTGGGTCTCCATATACAAAACCAGACGCTTTGGGCTTCCAACACGGTGCAGTTTAAATTAGTTCTATTCGATAATCTCTGACTAGAAACCACTGTTACTTGAGCAAATTGGGGAGTGTGACTTTGTCTGAAACCGTAATATCAAAATTCTCATTATAGTGCATTTATTTAGGATGTTTTGTGGAGGAAAAGTCATTATACCAATTGGAAGAAGGTACTGTCCCCCAAAATGGTGCGACTTTAACAGCACTTATAGGAAAGATTAGTAATTAAGTGAAGAAGAAGAAAAAGCAAGTTGCAGGACAACATAGTACAATCTCCTTTTTAAAAGGACTTATATCCATAATACATGTTTCTGGAGAGAAAACTGAAAATATGTACAAGGAACTGTAGCAGTGGTCTTTTTGGAGGAGAGGAGTAGGGACAAGAAAGACTTAGGTGCACTATTTTTAGTATGTGAAAGTACAATTTTTTTTTTTTTTTTACAGTAAAAAATGAGCAAAATAAAGAATCCTCCAGTGATTTCCCACATACTGGAGAAAGGAGTTAGAGTTAGGGTTCAGGCACTGAACGCAGAGGACCCTGCAGGGTCTATCTGGCCACACAGGTCTCACACGTGCCCCTGTGTGCCTCATTAGAGCCCCACCAAACCACTTGCCGCTCCCAGAATGCACTATGCAGCCCTGAATTTCTGTGCTATTTGTTTCCTCTCTCTCAGGAATGCCCTTTCCAAACTCATCTGTCAGAAAACTCCCTCTTTTCCTTCAAGATCTAGTTCAAATGCACCTTCCTATTGGATGTCTTTCTTGACCGCCCCAAACCCCAATCCTGGCCCAGGCAGGTATGCGCTCAGAAGTGCTTTCCCTGGGATGTGAATGCTTGCGATTCAGCTGATGTGCTAAGAAGGGCTCCTCCCGGGTCTGCCAGCTGCTTGGGTCACCATTTTCCAATTGGAGGAAGGAATGGCTTAAAGTAGGGTATGGGATGCATGTGACAACCGCCCCAATCTGGGTGCAGTGTTCACTCACATATGTCAAGGCATCTCTCCCAGCTTTCACTCAGAGCCAGACAACTGCTACCTGAACCCTTTCCCTTAAGGCTGTTAGACCTGCAGCCAGGGGCTTACGTCTTATTGGCTTAGCCCGTCCTAGGGCCAGGCAAGATTGGGCTGACTACCCTGGGTTCACATATTTTATTTTACTTGGTGAGGTAAGTTCATTCTTCAGAGCAAGCTTCCATTGGGTTATGTTGGCCAATGCAAACTTAACCTTGGATTCACAAGAAAACTCTCCATCAAAACATTCCACCTCATTTTTAACAAGGAGAGAAAAATAATCTATAGAAAGAAGTTCCTACGATGTATGCAGAACTCTGCTTCATCCTTCATGTCCTCACACCCAAGGTTAAACAATAACAAAACTATAAGAAACACTCACTACAAAATAAGAGTAGCCAGTGGAATTCGGAAAGAGAAAGACAATACAGGGACACTGACCCTACCGGACATTAAAATATACTGGGATGTCTTAGCAATTGAGAAAGTGCTTGAATAAAGAAAGAGACCAATGGAAGAGAATTAGGAAGTCCAGAAATTAAATGAGGTACATGACGTTAGCATATGATAAAGATGTCATCTCTAGTTGGTAGACTCATAAGGACTTTATACTACTGGGTTGTGAGCTAAAAAAAAAAAATACAAAGTTGTTTCTATACCTCAAACTGTACAAGTGTACAGTGGAACAAGTTCCAAGTGAATTGGAGATTTAAATGTAAAAGAAACAAGAAATCCATAAAAGCATTCCAAGAAACATGGGTAAACAGAATATACAGTTAACACACACCAAAAAACCCCCAACATAAATGGCCCCTAAAACAGGTAAAAAATATACCCAACCTCAGTCATTGTTAGAGAAATGCAAATTAAAATTACACTGAGGTATTATTTTTCACCTCTCAGATTGGCAGAAGTCTAAACGCTCGACAACACATCCTACTGGTAAAGTTGTGGGGCAGCAGGCATGCTCACACATTACATGTGGAAATGCAAATGTCATAGCCCATATCGAGGGCAAATGGACACTATCACAATTACAAATGTGTTTACCTTTTGAACCTATTGCACAGATGCACTTGCCCATGTAAGAAATGACATATGTTCATGATTATTCATTGCAGCACTGTTTGTAATTGCAAAAGATTGGACACAACCCAATTGCCCATTAATAGGGTATTGGTTAAATAAACTTTGCCACATCCATACAATGGAATACTATGCAGTTGTTCAAATCGAATGAAAGTTATTATTCTCTATGTACCAATACGGAAAAAAATCCCTAGGTTATAGTGTGAAAAAAGAGGCAGACCAACATATATAGTATGCTTCCTTTTGTATAAGAAATGAAGACTAAGAATAATTACTCATATTTGCTTGTGATTGCATAAGGAGGCACTGGGACACAATTAAGTAGGATGACTGATTGCCTAAAAGGGACAGGAGAGAAAGGAGTGGATGGAGACAGCAGAAGGGATATGCTTTAATATATGCCTTTCCATATTTAACTTTTGACTACTGTGAATGCATTTCCTTTTCAAAAACTAGAAATAACATTTAAAAGCATACTCTGGGGCTTCGCCAGTGGTGCAGTGGTTGAGAATCCGCCTGCCGATGCAGGGGACACGGGTTTGAGCCCTGGTCTGGGAAGATCCCACATGCCACGGAGCAACTAAGCCCATGAGCCACAACTACTGAGCCTGCGGTCTAAAGCCCGTGAGCCACAACTACTGAGCCCACGTGCCACAACTACTGAAGCCTGCGTGCCTAGAGCCCATGCTCCACAAGAGAAGACACTGCAATGAGAAGCCCGCGCACCGCAACGAAGAGTAGTCCCCGCTCGCCGCAACTACAGAAAGCCCGTGCATAGCAACAAAGACCCAATGCAGGCAAAAATAAATTTAAAAAAAAATACATACTCTGCAGAAAACTTTTGCCAAAGTCAGAGCTAAACAACACAAGAGTGGAGTAGATTTATTCTAAAGCGTAAGCTCCAAGTTAAATGTGTTTTATTGTATTATTAACTTTGCCTCCTTATTAGAATCTACTGTGATCCTTTGCTTGGTGTGATGGCTCTGTCATATGTAAAACTAGGATGCCAATATTGGCTGGATAAGTCTGGAGAATACTATAATACATTCTTAGGTCCACAGATTAGAAAAAGCTATCCATAAAAAGTATAACATTTCCATCAATTATTCATTGAGAATCCATATGGTAGAGGATAGTTGAGTACTCTGGGTAAATAAAAATGTGATTCATGGGGCTTCCCTGGTGGCGCAGTGGTTGAGAGTCCGCCTGCTGATGCAGGGGACACGGGTTCGTGCCCCGGTCTGGGAAGATCCCACATGCCGCAGAGCAGCTGGGCCCGTGAGCCATGGCCGCTGAGCCTGCGTGTCAGGAGCCTGTGCTCCGCAGTGGGAGAGGCCACAACAGTGAGAGGCCTGCGTACCTCAAAAAAAAAAAAAAAAAAAAAGTGATTCTTGGCTTCAAGAAAGTGACATTTGATGGCCAAGAAGTGATTAATCATTTCCAGGTGCGAACTTACAACCAAGATTTCCTCACTAAGATTAAGCCATCAAACATCATGATTGCTGGGGAAACATACCTTGAAATCTTGTTCAGGCTATGCGGCCTTGAGGCTGATTTTATCCTCCACTGTACCAACCCAGGTTTCTCAATGGCGTTCTGGATCAGAGGAGTATCATAGTTCAAGCTTCCCCTTACCACGTCTCTATTAACATCTTTTTCTTCATCTTAAGCATTGGGGCTTTGCTCCGTCCTCACTCTTTTTGCCAGCGTGTCTCTCTCTCTCTCTCTCTCCCATCTCTTTGATGCTGTTCAGTCACCTAGAAACATGTGCAGTGGCATTCACAGGCAACGATTGGCATCAGATTTCCCTCATTCTTCTGCCATAGAGTCAGCATTGAAATCAATGGGAAACCAAGTGCAATCACATAAAATTGATTGCCATTTGGATCCTATTGATTATCCTGCCAAATCTATGACAAGAAGAATAGCTTTGCTGGATGGCAAAAAGGCAGTGACTACACATGCTTCAGCTGCCATTTGAGGTTGGCTGAAATAGCATCTGCCCATTGATCTAGATCAGAAAGAAAGAGATGCCCTTACAGAAAAGCAGACCAGCAGAGGGAAAACATTTATTCTTGTCCACTAATGATGACTCCTTAAACTTACCTTCAAGGACAGTCATTCAACAATACTCCGTTTTTTAACCACAAAATTTGAGGACTGGGCTTCCCTGGTGGCGCAGTGGTTGAGAGTCCGCCTGCCGATGCAGGGGACACGGGTTCGTGCCCCGGTCCGGGAGGATCCCACATGCTGCGGAATGGCTGGGCCCGTGAGTCATGGCCGCTGAGCCTGCGCGTCCAGAGCCTGTGCTCTGCAACGGGAGAGGCCACAACAGTAAGAGGCCCGCGTACTGCAAAAAAAAAAAAAAAAAAAAAAAAAAAAAAAAAAAAAAAAAAAAATTGAGGATTGAGGACCTCTAGGGACCATCTTGGACTGAGTTACTATAGATAACCCCCTTACTACAAACACATAGAGATGCTGGATAGAATAAATTAACAATAATGTGTAAATATATAGCTTAGTTCAAAATAAAGGAAAGCAAATCCTTACAAGTACAAAACTAAAAGGGAATCAAAAGCAAGGCTCCAATGGGTTTGGAGTGGGGATAGGGTACAGCATCAGATTCCAGCTATAGGTCCTCGTGGTCAAGTATTGGGATTTAATGGTCATATCGGGACAGAAGATATGGCCTTGGGTCAATGCAAGACAATGAGTTGGAATGGATTTGTTTTGTAAAACCAGATTTCCAAAAGAGCTGTCCCCTCATTGAAGATAGATTAGAAGAACTCTGGCTCAAGGATTTAACAAGGAGGTGGTCTCCACCCACAACTTTAGATGGATTTAAAGTTTCTAAGAATATAAAGCCACAGGTTTATGCTACAAGAAGATGTGTAGTATGAATTTTTACTACCTATATGAGAATCCCTAAGCTGAGAAATCAATATAAAAACTGGTTCCAGACCAATAAAATGTGAGCCACCTGGCTGAGAAATGGAAACACCCTGTAGGGACCCTTCTGCAATCCCAGACACACAGAACTTCAGAAATGTGGTGGTTTTAAAATGTCCAAAATATTCTTGATATTCCACTGCTATTTCACTTAATTCCAGGCAGGCTTGTGACTGCTTTGACCAGAGTACAGCTGAAGTGATGCTACATGGTTTCTGAGGCTAGACTTTAAGAGGACTTGAACCTAGAGATCTTGAACCTATCACCTTGTTCGCTGAATCATTCATGCTGGAGCCCTAAACCTCCATGTAAAGAAGTATCACCACTCTGAGGCTGCCATGCTGGAGAGTTCACATGTAGTTGTTTCCACCTACAACTACATGAGCTAAGCTGTTAGCTGATAGCCAGAATCAACTACATGAGCTAAGCTGTTGGCTGATAGCCAGAATCAACGACCAGCCCCGTATGTGAGCCATCATGGATGTCTAACCCAGTAAAGCCTTCAGATGATTCTAGGCCCAGTTGGCATCTGACTGCAAAAACCATGAAAGAACTCAAGCAAGAACTACCCAGTCAGGCCCTTCCTGAATTTCTGACCTACAAAATCGTGAGCAACATAAAACAGTCATTTTAAACCAATACGCTTTGGAGTAATTTGTTTGTAGCAACAGACAACCAGAAAAGGGGGGAAGAAAATCTCTGGGGAAGAGATGCTCACCAACACAAATTATGAAAATGAGAAGAAAGGATCCTCAACGAGGGAGAAGTCCAAGGACATTATGCAGGAAGATACCAAGAACTAGAGACAATGTAAGAATCTGAAAGACTATATGAGGTATGTTCACCATGATTAAAGACAAGATCAGGCACTATCAGGGTGGTAAAGAATCGATATCTGTATAACTGAATCACTTCGCTGTGCACCTCAAACTAACAACATTGTAAATCAACTATAATATAGAATTTTTTTAAAATGATTAAAGAAATTTCACATACTCTGTTAGTGATACTGTGGAGAATCATGCACTTTCATGATTGTTGGTGGGGCACAAAATGTTCTAACTGCTCTGAAGAACGATTGGGTTATATCTATCAAAATTACAAGTATAGTTACCCTTTCACCCAGCAATCCCACTCTGTGACTCTATCCCATAAACATAGTCGAGTGCTTGTAAAATGATATAGTCACTACAGTATTATCTTTAAGAGTAAAAAACTGGAAACAACCCAAGTGTAGGATACTGGTTAAACTAACCATGATATACCCACACAATGGAATGCTATGTAATGGCAAAAAGGAATGAGGTCCTGTTTTTATGTGCAAAAAGTAAAACAGGCCACCGTTAATATAGTATATGGTGCTGCCTTATGGTCAACAAGGGAGAAAAAAATCAGAATATATATTCAAAAATCCTTATATTTGTATAAAGATACATTGGGAGAATACATAGGAAACTATTAAATGAAGTTACTTATTGAGGGAGGAATGTGTTGTTTTGAATCCTAAGCCATACAAATAAAACGAGGCTTTGGGACATTTTAAAATAGGAGTTAAAGAAAAAGACATGAGGACTTCCCTGGTGGTGCAGTGGTTAAGAATCCACCTGCCAATGCAGGGGACACAGGTTCGATCCCTGGGTGCGGAAGATCCCACATGCCGCAGAGCAACTAAGCCCATGTGCCACAACTACTGAAGCCCGTGTGCCTAGAGCCCGTGCTCCGCAATAAGAGAAGCCACCGCAGTGAGAAGCCCACGCTCCGCAAAAAGAGTAGCCCCTACTCGCCACAACTAGAGAAAGCCTGCATGCAGCAACAAAGACCCAACACAGCCAAAAATAAATAAAAACAAACCATTAAAAAACACATGAAAAAAGTATTTAAAGAAGGAAAATGAAAAATAGTTATTAGAATTAAAATCCAATGTCTATGTTAGACACAGCTGAAAACCTGTGAAAATTACTTATAATTCAGCAAAGGGAAATGAAGAGGTGGAAAATATAGCCAAAAATCTAAGAAACATAGAAGCAAGAATGTGCAACATATATCTAATAAGAGTTCCAGAAGGAAAGATTAGAGAATGGGGTAGAGAGAGTATGGGGTAGAGATCGACATAGTGAAACTGCAAAATACCAAAAAATTGTAAAGTAATCAGGGAAAAGAACAAAGAACAAAAATTAGACTGGGACTTAACAATAATGTCAGAAGATAATTGAATACTATCTTCAATTGTTAACCTCAATTCTATTCTCAACTAGATTGTTTTGACTCGATCTTGAAGGAACTCGAAGACGTTTTTAGAAAAACAAAGAAAGAGAGTTGACATACATAGAACGTTGCTGGAGAAACTCTAAAGGATATACTTCAATAAAAAGGAAACAATCCAGAATGAAGAAGTGGGATGTGAGAGGCAATGTGAGTTGTCACTGCTCAACACGGAGTTCAAAATCTAAATAAATATTAACTATAAAAACAGTGACAATGAAAATGAGTGATGGGAGGTTAAAAACAAGGAGCGACTAAATATTAGACAAGAAAAACATGGAAGATGGGAGGACGATGCTTGGAGTTTGTGTTCCCAGGTCTTCTCTTGTTGAGGTGGAGGGTAAAGATAGTAACTTTTCAGGTCAAGTATGTATGTTAAGCAATTAAGGGTTCCCACTAAAAGGACAGAAATGGAATAACTTCCAAGTGAGAAAATGAAAACAGAGGGAAAAAAATTAAGTAGAAACCGTGAGAAGGTACGGTACAAAGAAAATGCAAAAGTAGATATATTAGTAACCACAAAAACATGGAGGAATTCAACTCACCTATAGTTTCTCACCTCAGATTTTTTAATCCAGAAAAATTCCTTAAATATGATGACAGAAAGGAGGCAAAGAACAGAGAAATCAGACAAAGCAATACGTATGTCAAATGGGATAATCTTCAAGTCAAAAAGGCATTATTTCAGATTAAGTAACTCATTACATTTACAGTAATGAAAGGAAAAATATAACAGGAATATAAAACAGTCATGATTTGGAATGCATCCAACAGATCTTCCAAATATACAAAGCCAAAAAAACCAAAAAACAATACTGCATAGAGAATTTTAAAACTATTCAATTAGTGAGGAATTTTAACACATCTCATGGAGAGATACAGATCAAGAAGAGGAAAACTTAAGTGTACAGAAGAGCCAAACAACACAATTAACAAGCTTGAGCTAATGGAATGTGTAGAACTGAATCCAACAACTTGTGAATAGATACTTTTCTCAAATACTGGAGAATGCTTACAAAAATTGACTATGTACTTTATTATAAAAATGTCTCTAAAATTTCAAATAGTATCTCACTACCAGGCAAAAATTTTCATAGAGAAATCATTACACTACCTTACATCATCTACCATTTGACTTATTTAGTGTTTGCTCACACGTGCGTGTGTATGCACACCAAATGCACATATCTTCGGAGAACAGAGAGTGAAAGTTTTCTAAGAAATAAAGGGTTTTTTCCTGTTTGCTCGAGATACCGTCTCATATGATTCACTGCCCGTGTGTTGCTATTTTCATTGTGTTTTTGAGCTGTTCATCAGAAGGGTGGTGTTGGCAACATTTGTTATTCATTATCTATGAATGAAATTTGTGAGCTCTCAGTTGGACCTCAACTGAAAGCTTTGGTAGCAAGGATGAAATGGAGGACAGTAGACAAAAATATGAGTTCTTAAAAATATTTTTTCTTTCTTTTCAACATATTTAAACAGTCTCTTTAGCCCCGTAGTCTGAGAAAAAAAATAGCTGGAATAGAGAAACTCATTGCTTTATTAAACACTCCCCTGATCTTACTGTTAACCTGACAGCCTAGGAGAACCTGTATTGGCAGAATGATGACAAACAAATAATGAATTGAGTCTGATCTCTTTCTCTATCGAAGGATGAAGTTGCCGTATTGATATGGTAAAAGATATTTTTGTTCCTTTTTACATCAAACTCAGTACAAAATTCTATAGTTCTGAAGCCTATAATTACTGTCTTGCATATATGACAAGTTTAAGAATTAGGACTGTCTTTTTAAAAAGGTTCAGATGTTACAATTTCCAAACAATATTCTAATGGTACATGACTGGGGCTTGGGGTGAAAGATCTTGTCTATGTGACAGGAAGCTAAAGACCTATTCTCTAAATCTGTCCCATAACTATAGAAACTTTGGGGGCACTGACACAATTTTAGAACATCAATGCAAAGCTTATAGTATCAATTGATACATAATGTTGAGACTCGTAAA